GAGGTACGTGTCTCCCCGCGGAGCGCTGCCTTGCTGGGCCCAGCTCCTTGGCGGGGCGCATGGGGGAGCGGGGACCGGCCTTGGGCACCTCTGCGGGCGCGGAGCTCGGCTCAGGGCGGAGACTTTGCAGAGACGGCGGGAGCAGGGAGACGCCCCAACCACAGCCCAGCCCCTGGGGAGATTTTGGGGGGCTGGGTCCCCTCCCTTTACGTACATTGCAAACGTCTTGGGGCGGCTCGGGGCCCTTCTCTTCAGTCCCCCCAGCGCCTCGTCAAGGCTGGCTGCAGGCGGTGGGGTGCACGGGGTGGATGCATGGCAGAGAGGGCGGCTCTGCTCTCTGAGCCCCCGATGTCCTTGCCTCGCAGGGCTGCTGGGGCGGGGCGGGGAGGAAGGAGCAGGGTAATCTGCTGCTGTGGTTTCAACTGTATTTTTGAAGAACAGTGCTCTGGATACCCCCATCCGAAAGGGAACTAATCTGTCTGATGCTTGTGGAGGTTACAGGACGCTGCTGTGGGGAGCCAACTTGTTGGAAGGGACAGATTCAGGTTACTTAACTCTGCTACATTAGTTTTCTCTTTGCTTGGTTATGGAGTTGTGATTCTGGGCTTGTTTGAGGCAGGGTCTTCTGTTTCTTACAGCAAAGGGATTTTGTGCTACGGGGTTTAGTGAGGGAGAGATCTGTCTTCCTGCTCAATGCTTTCTGAACTCTCACCCATAAAGCCATTTATTGTCATTACAGCGCCGCCCCCTTGTTAGCCTTATTTTAGCCTTTGATTCTGAATATTCATCTTGACGAGTTATATGACTCTACATCTTTAACAGCCTTGCTTGTGTTTGGTTTGTGGGCTGTTCTGATGGTGTCAGCTTCCTACAACATACCCAGTAGAAAACATGATTTACTGGTGTGGTTTGAGAACAGGCAAGCGTATCCACTTTTTCCCCCACCATTTTTAATATGCTTTATCATTGTACTTGTTCCTTCCATATAGATATGCATCAAAGCCACATTCCAGGTTACAGTCTTGCTAAAGTCCTATAGTGGTTGCAATACAGTAATTCCTCATTTAACATGTGTCCACTTAACACGTTTTCGCAATAGCACGATTTTATTTTTAGGGATCATTTTTTGAATTACACGACCCTGGAATAACACGATTTTGCCAGCCCGTCTGTTGCTGGTGGCTGTGCGGGGCTTCCCTCACCTCTCTGCAAAGTAGCGGAAGGTTTGCCACTCACCGCGCCATTCCCCAGCAACCCTCCCCTTGCCAGACGCAGTGCGGGTCCCATCAGACCCATCACAGGGGCATGCTCCCAACCCAATCCCCCTTTCCTTTCCTTCCCTTTCCCTCCTTTCCCCAGAGCCAAACACCTCCCCTCTCTGTTGTAACCCAGTCCCCTTTCTCCTTCAACCTTATGTCTGGGACCCAGCAGACACCACCGCTTGAAACGCGACCCCCACCTTTTCCATTATTTTCAATGGGAAGATTGACCCCACATAACACGTTTTCACTTAACACGATCATTTTCTGAAACATATATAGTGTTAAGTGAGGAATTGCTGTACTTCCAGTTAAGGCTTGAGTGAAGAGGTCTAAGGCAGCATTTCCTTTGGTTTTGTTGCATTTGAAGTAAGCTCTTAGCATTATTTTAATGGTCATCCATTTAAATGTTGTATACATATTTTAGATAAAGTTAACACATAATAAAAACAGAATGACTCTAGGTGGGGGAGAGGTTGGTTTAAACTGACAACAGTCAGTAACACAGTACATCACCTTTTTGAATTATTTTTAAAAAGCAAATATTAATTAAAAACTTAAAATAGTCGTTCTGGTGACCTCATGATTTAAAAATAAGAGTGTGGGGGATAGGGATGTGAAATACTGTTTAATTTATTAACAGGTTAAACATTGTTTAACTGGTTAATCGATTAAAAGGAGTGTGGGCAGAGGGGCGCCCCCCCCCCTTCCCCAGGCTCTAGCCTGGCTGGAGCAGCCCCCTGCGGTATGCCTGGGCCCACTGTGAACAGGGGCTGCTCAGACGACTAGAGAGGCCCCTGTCTGCAGCGTTCCCCTCCTCTTCCATTGGAAGTGGAGAGCTTCTCCAGCCCCACCAGTTACCAATTAACTGGAACTGGTAAGCATCAGTTCCAGTTAACCTTTCACATTGCTAGTGGTGGGGGAGAAAGAGAATATGTTATCAGAATGCACATAAAAGGGTTTAGTTTATGGAAGCTGCAAGGTACTGATGAGGGGGTCTAAGTCTTAGCTGCCATACCAAAACTCATGTTGATTCAGAGTCTCCCTAAATCCTGGCCTAAACTACACGTGTGGAAAGGACTGATGACCACCCTGTCACGGAGTGTGGGGGAATCACCGGGTCCTGCACCCCCATCCGCAGTCCCATGTTCTCTCAGCTACCAAGTAGAGCAGAAGGTTTCTTGTTACAGGAACATTCAGTACAGTCCCTCTTGGGAGATAAGGGGGCCCAGAGCCACGGCTCTGGACTTCTGCCCAGGCCTAAACCTGCCCCCCCAAAAAACCTCACACACCCAGCAACTAGTCCCAGCCCTCCAGGCTGCCTCTGCCTACTCCTTTGTTCAGATTCCGGGGCAAGGTGTCACCTGGTTGCTTCCACCACCTAGGCTCAGGTTACAGGACAGACTGAGCTATTGTGTGTGGCTCTCACTGAGGGGAGGCTGCCCCATTTTAGCACATACACAAGATTCCCGGGGCCAGCTTTAGGACGTGTGCGGCACCAATTTGAACAGTTTTGACAGTCAGGATTTTTGGTTGAGCGCGCAAAAAAAAAAAAACCCCCCACACACAAAAAACCAGCACACAAAAAAAGAGTCACAGTCCCTTTAAGGTCCCAGCTCAGGGCAGAGTCCCACCTTCCCGCCAAACCCCAGGGCCAGCTCCCCCTCCGGGGCGCAGGGAAACCCCTGTGCTCAACTCACCTCTCCTGCAGCGCAGGGAAGCCCCCATGCTCCTTCTCTGGGGCCAACGGCCCCTCCCGCAGCATGGCTGGCACACCAGCACACTTCCGGCTTTCGGGCACGGGGCCCACTTGCTTTAGGGTGCGGGGCTGTGACGGACCGGGCTGTGTCTGGGCACAGCTGAGGGCGTCCGCTCAGGGCGAATTGCTCAAATCCGGGGCTTCTTACAGTCCCCAGACTGGTGACCTTTCCAAACAGGCCACAAACCAGTCCCACACAGCTCTCCAGCAGCCTGCCTGAAGCCTCATGAGCAAACCCCCTCCGACACCCCAGCAATATCCATGCCCCAGATGGCCCCGGGCCTATACACAGGTGGGGGGCGGGGGGGCCTAGCACCCAATCCCACCTACCCCGAACAAGTCCTGCCCGGTTCCAAGAAACCAGCCACAGATCCCTGGTCAATTTACCCTCTGGATCTTACCCACAAATCACGCCGAGCCAATCCTTTAGAATCTATATCTAAACGTTTATTATCACAAGAAAAAAAAGCATGAGAGTAAGGTTGTTAAAGAATATTACATTACATGCACCGAATCTCCCAGTTCTCGATGCAGGCTCTAGCAGAGATATTACAGCTGCTGGTTTAAAAGTCCTTGTTGCACATCCTACCATCAGGATGGGTCCACAGGTCTTCCGGTCTCTTCGATCCCTGCAATGCTGCCTCTGGGATGAAGTGCTGAGCTGAGAACAAGATGGCGTTGACCACATGGCTTATTTATCCCTCCATCCTGGTCCCTTCTTGGCTGTAGCAGGTCAACTGCCCGAGGCCAATCTCTGTGTTCCCTGCTGGCAGCTCTCAGGTGACAGCCCCCATTCTTTAGGTGTCCTTGGCCCATTGAGAGCCATTGTCCCACAGGGCCTCGCTAATTAGCACGTCCACAGGCCCGGCCCTGCCCAATGCTCAACCACATGCAGGGAAATCTTCAGTATCCATACCATTACATGCTAATAGTTGCACACACAGACATTATACAAACACATGAACAGCGTACATAGGATTATCAGACAGTAAGCTTCTATTCAATACCTCACATGGGCCGCTTCTATACCATTTTTGGGGCCAACAGCCCCCACCTATGGGTGCATCAGTGATCTGGCTGCTCCCCTCAAGATCCAGTAACTTGACAGGGGCCCTCTTAGGTGCAGGGCCTGATTTGGGGGATTGGGCGAATTGGCCTAAAGCTGGCCCTGAAGATTTCTATCCTCACTCTGACACTGGTGCAGTGCCCAAGAAACTGAGGCGCACACACGGGGTTGCAATGAGGGAATCATCACATAAGAGAGTGAACACAATCCCCACTACATCACACACCCTAAATTAATGTTGCTTTAAACTATCTTTCAAAACTTGTTTGCCATAAATGAGTACACTGTCACCTTGAAAGTGCAGGCCTTTATATTTCCCGTCTCTGAGCAACTATTCAAGGCTGCTTTAAAGGGATTTTTGATGTGCATGTATTATTTTTCCTTACAGTTTCTCTGAGGAGCAGAAGTATGGGATGAGATGGAGGAAGTAGTTTTCATGCTTTATGTTTATGCTCCAGTGATACTGAATGGCTGAAGCCTGGAACTGAATGATTGATGGCTATATCATCATTCTGATATTCATTTAGTCACCACCATGGGTCACTGGGGAAAAAACACTATTTTAGTTTGTCACCCATATTTAAAATAAACTTCTGGAATAATTTGATTTCTCAGAGCGAGACTACAAACTGACCTGACACGAATACACAAACTCATAAAATAAAAACAAAAAATTGGAAGCCCTGGTATTCTTGTTTATGTGAGAGCGGAACCATATCAAAATGTGTAGAGCCCCTTTTAAAAGGGGAGTAGTTGAAAAGTGTCCAGCGCATCATGAATAACCATGCTGCTGGCTTAGGAGGGATAATTCGCTAAGCTGCGAAACAGACGTCGCAACTTGAGAGAAAATTTGTATGATCAAAGATTATGTTTGTAGCTTTTTGCTTTTTTTTTCTTACTGATTCTTAGAAGAGTTTCTGTGTTATGGGTGTAGAGAAGTGTCTTAATGATGCACCATCTTCAATTTTCCAAGGTTATTGTGCATGGGAAGTAGATTAGGTAGTGAATGCAAAGTATTAACTATAGTTGTGTTTCTTCTGTGGAGTAAACAAGGTCTGGTAATATTTTATTGGTTTTTGGAAAGCAATCATAACTGTGTGATTTGAAACAATATGCCAGAATTATGAGAATTTGTATTACTGCTTTATCATTCATAGGTTTTTGTTATAACTTATCTGGGAACCTTGAGGGTAGATGAGGTATAGAGATCAGGACTGGGTTCTCAGATCATAGCTATTCTAAGTTAATGTACATTTTATAGCTATCCTTGATAGTGACAGTTGTCTCTTCCTCAGCCTTGGTGTTCTGGGCTTTAGATGGTGGATAACGCCTCTGTCTGGTTTCTAGCCTGGGAAAAGGGGATTTTATGTCTAATATAAAAAAGCTGATGCTGGTTCCTGGTTGCAGGCCAAGTTGACCAAGAAGTCCCTTCACAACCACGTTCTTACCTACTGGAAACTTCTATAGAACAGGAAGGTGCAGGGACTGGTAGAGATGATCTCCTTCAGGCAATTGCCGCTTGAAGCAAAGGCTACAGTGGCTGCTGGTGTTGTCTTCGTCTTCATGATGATATCCCGGACCTTCCTGGCAGAGCGACTTGAATTCAGTACACGGAGGTGGCTGCAGAGATTACAGATGGCACTGTTTGTTAATGCACTGATGCTCATAGGTTCTCTTCATATCTGGAGATGTATAGTGACCACATTCTACAGGCTTTCAGCTGCCAGCTCCTATTGTTTCATGCCATGGAAAATAGCTGTACTCATGTTTCTAGCCTTGGCACACTCAAGCTTTTTTACACTGTTGTTTCTTATCGCAGAAGAGCCCAGTTTCTTTTCCTTAGCTTCTTACACATGTCTAGGAGCCTATATAATCCTTGTTTTCTTTCTCTTTGCTTTGGGCACTGTAGAACAAGTTTATAAGCTCTTGATCAGGAGGGGTGCTCAGACAAGTGGTGTCCATAAGAGTAGTAAAACTATGATTAAGCCTATTCTGGCTGTCATGGTAACAATTGCACTGACTACTGTTGGGTTGTTGAATGCCTCCCAACCTCCTGCAGTGACCACAGTGGAGATTCCTATTCACAAACTGCCTTTGTCCATGGATGGCCTAAAGGTGGTGATGATATGCGATATCCATCTGGGACCCACTGTAGGGAAGACTAAACTTGGAATGGTAGTGAAGATGGTCAAAGCTTTAAAACCAGATATCACTGTGATTGTAGGTGATCTATCAGATTCTGAAGTGATGGCCATCCGCCCTGCTGTCGAATCTCTTAGTGAGCTTAATTCCCCATTGGGAACTTACTTTGTCACTGGAAACCATGAGTATTATACTTCTGATGTCAACAATTGGTTTGAGTTGCTGAAGTCATTTAATATTCGTCCACTCCACAATGAGAATGTGAAGATCTCTTCTCCAAGGAGCAGCATTGATTGGTTCTGTTTGGCTGGCGTTGATGATATTGAAGCTCAGATGTTGCGCTATTCTGGTCACGGCATGGATTTAAAAAAAGCTTTAAGTAACTGTAGTGCTGATCATGCAATAGTACTTCTGGCTCATCAGCCATTGGCTGCAAAATGGGCTCTCCATGAACGGCCAGACATAAACTTGGTCCTTTCTGGCCACACTCACGGTGGGCAAATATTCCCTCTGAATGCTGGTGCCTATTTACTGAATCCCTTCTTCGTTGGCTTGTATAAATTGGGACAGAGCTCTTTCATATATGTCAGCCCGGGGACTATGTATTATGGAATTCCAATGAGGCTGGGTAGCAGAGCTGAAATAACGGAGATCATCCTGCGCTCTCCCTGAATGGTTTGCCAGCTTGAAAATGTTGTATCTTCTATCAGCCAGTAGAACTGACTCTGATATGCACAAGTCCCTGAGCCAAGTCCATCCGCGATATAACACTGGGGAAGTTGGTGAGGTTAGAACAGCGATGGACTTGGCTTTGTAAGCTGATGCTGCTCCTTCTGCAGATAGCACTGTTTCTTCCACCATCTTGTAGGCTTATCAAACACCCATGACAGATGACTGGAAGTGATCCATAAGTCAATTAGATGTGTTCATTGTGCTGTTAAGATGCCTCATTGAAAAGTTATCGCCATGGCATTGGTGTTTCATTTTAAGTTTGCTTACTGTGTGTATTCAATATTTTGTAATCTGTCATTGGCTCACATTCTACTTGATTCTTGCCATCTGATGGAGTGCTGCCTAATTCCTAATGGTGCACAGTTTGTCCACTGGGAGATGTGGTAAAACTGATGTAAATTTTCCCCCGTGTGCTCTACAAAGTCTTCATTCAGGCTT